ACATGTCTTTAGAATTCCTATTGCGGCAATACACAACCTTTGGCACTTCGTGAAACGCTTTTCCAAGATGCCCATTCCTTGCCAGTATTGTATAATACTTACGAAGAATTTTATTTATATTTGGAAGCACATTTGAGTATTTGGCTATGAATGCTAGGAGTTGGTTGGGTTGTGCTATGGGATTTTTTTAGCTAGTGTTGTTCTCCAATCTAGTTTACATGTGTCGTTCTAGACTTTGTTTATGTTGCCTCGTGGGCAAATACTTTCAACTAATGTTTGCTTTAGGTTACTTAAGTGGAGGACGTATTGACTGTTGTCGCTACAAATCCTTCTTACATACCTCGCTTGGCCGATGAAAATTCTTTGTTTGCAGTGTCAAAGGTGGTTACTAGTGTAATCTAGGTATTTTTTGTTGTCTGCCGGTTTTCTGTAAAGCGTCGTCTTTAAGTTTCCTGTTTCAATAGATACTGTCGTGACTAGGAAGTTAATTTAATTGGGAGAATGGTTCATGGCAAACTTAATACAAGAGTGAAACTTGCTACAGAGATCAATGAATGAGTTTACCGCACTTACGCGATGTTCTTATATAATAAATAACATGTCTATGTAGCAAAGATAGGTAGAAGGTTTTACTGGAGATGAATCCTGATTCTAAGTGTCCCATAAAAATGTTGGCATATGTTGGCGCTAAAGAGGTTCCCACACTAGTGCCAAATTGTTGTAGGTAGTAACACGAATTAACTTGAAAACAATTAGGCGCAAGGACTGATTCGAGTAATGAGAGGTCATCTTCAGCATTATGTGTATGTTTGTTTGCTATTAGTAACTTTGACACCGCTTCTATTCCCTCAATTATAGGTATATTAGGCTACAAAGAGCATACATCCAATGTTACCAGAATGGCTTGATCAGGAAGTGTTTGTACTTAATTAAGATTATCTATTACTATGAGTATATGAGGTGTATCCTCAACAAAAGATGGTAGAGTGGATGGTGCGTTGAATAGATAGAGATATAAAAGTTTTGGTAGTGACTCAGGTGTATTGTTGTTGGACACTATAGACCTGTCTGAAGTTTCTGCGGTAATTACTTCCTCTATAAAAACCTTGTGAATCTTTGGAAGGAGGTAAATGAGACCTGCTTGCTTCTCTTTGGGCATGAGGAACGGTGCTTTGAGCATGTGATCAATTCCTTGGTTACAAAATCTGTTATGATTTGTTGTATGCTAATACTACAGTCTTAAGTCGGAAAGTCCTTTCTGTTTAAAAATTGTTTTAATACATCGTGTTCTGCATAAGTGAACTTCTCCGGCTTTCAGTCTAGCGCTACATAGCATAGTGATGGACTAACTATCTGAATGTGTAGATAAGACTAACTATCCTGTCTCGCACACCGCCTATCTCTGTAGACCTAAAGTCAAAAACGAAAAAAGTGATGGGTGCTTGCAAGGGAATATACCAAGGAAGACGAGGCATGCACCTCCACAGTGTGCTCACCACCATTGGTGTAGAAACAGGCTAAGCAGCCTGTTTCGCAGGTGAAGTCAGACCATTGTACACCTCAGCCAAACACAAGTGAGGCTACAGATATGAAAATTGAACTTCAAGCTCATAAACGTACAAGATCGTCTATCTGCGCGGATCTTAAGTCAAAAACTAAAAATAATGAATTGTCGCTTGCAAGAAAATATACCAAGAAAGACAAGACATCTACCTCCGCGGTGCGCTCACTACCACTGGAGTAGACAAGGCTAAGCGGCCTGTTTCTCGGGTGCAATCTGACCGTTATACACCTAAGCTAAACACAAGTGAGGCTACACATATAGAAATTCAGGTCCGAATTCATAAACGCACAAGATCGCCTATCTCGGCGGACCTAACCTCAAAAACTAAATATAAAACTTGGCAAGTTAGCATCTCAATTACTATGAACATAAGAATGATGACTAACAATGAAATAACAATGGAAAAAAACGAACTACATCCACCTAACCCACATTTTTGTATATGCACTGCATGTATACTGGCAAGATATTAATCCTGCTAATGTCTGATGAAAGACAATGGACAATTAAATACCATTCATGAGTTCCATGGGCACAGGCCACGTCTGCAGCTTATTTATGCCATATTCTTTCCTTGGGTTTTCTTATCGCCCCGTTACACTGTAAATGCTGCCTTGCGGAAACCGCACCACAAGACCAAGAAGAATCGAGATACTCGTAAAATCTTCTGATACGATTATGCACGCAATGAAAACATTACAGTTTCTTCTATAACTTATGTGCGCACTATGTTGACATGCCATATAAGTCACAAAATGAGAACCAGCAACAATTATATATGATGATAAGCTACACAGTATGAACTTTATTTTACCCGAATGGCAACCAATACGTTCAACAACTCGCCAGTGCTGTTACTTGAGACCAAGCTAGCAAGATTGAGGCTAACTGATGAGAAATCTCAATCTACACCATAATTTGTTAGAGTAAAACACACATCTGCACTGACGAAAGTTAAGACACAGTGCAGCAGTATTTTATAGATACAAGACAAGCAACACTAAAAACTCCAACAAAACTGAGTACTAGAATGTATAGCACTGCCGGTGAAGTTCACAATAAGCAATTAAGCAACCTTTATAATAAATCGCTCCAGCACTTGAAAGCTGTCCATCACTGGCTCTCATTCTTCTTCGGCACCTCTGGAAAACTCTTTTTCGGCACCTCTGGGAGTGTTTAAAAGGAGAAAAAACATAGAACTCAGTCAACATAAAGCAGACGCAAATGTTTTTGCATTGTTGAAAACATTCATGCTCTGGGTGCATTGAGCATAACACAAACGCCCAGCTTGTTTTGACATGAAAAGAGAGAGAAAGATTTTATTGGCTAATGTTAAAGCACTGGGCCAATGCTGAGTATGCCACACCAAGTCTACCCAACCATGCTACTTTTGTAATGACACCGGAAGCCCGAGTCACCTGTGCAGGCTCCACAGACATGACCTCTCAGCTCAAGATGGCAGGCTTGGGGCAGATTCGGCGGGACAGCCTGGAAAGGATGTGGGTAAGTGTGTGGTAATCGAAGCTAGCCCGCCGCCTTTGCGCGGGCTTTTCCGCCTCTTTCTCCATTCTCATGTCCCGACATGACTCTCATCCTCCATGGTCTGTGGCAATGGGAGAGCGAAGAGGGACGTTTAACCCCTCTCACTCGGTAGCGGATGTCGACTGCGGCGCCGTGCACAGAGTCTCTCCGGACGTCTCGCGCGCAAGCGTCGTGAGTGACGGAGACCTCTCCGGGGACGACATGTAGGGTAAGCACGCTTTTCTTTTCCGTCCGTCGGCTCCCTTTGTTTGACCCTTGCTCGGACTTCGCCAACAGTGCCTTGCGCTCGCGGCAAACGCTTACCTTATGTCGTCCCCTTTCCGAACGCTAGGCCGAAGAGTGTCGCAGGTGTCCTAGTGCGTGGCCAGGCTGCGCCGACCCGTATCTCTCCGAAGCCAACGCGAGCGCTTTGCCCTCGCTCGAACAACCGGGCCTTTGTCCCGGTGGCTCCATGAATCACTTTTACCATTGGAGACATGCTCGGGGTACCCTGTGTAGTACTTCTCGCGTGTAGCGTGGATAAGCCCATTTGCTTTCCTGCCACGCCTTTGCAACGAGCTGTGTACTGCATTTTTGATGTTGCCGCAAACAACAAACTGTTGCCACCTAGAGCAGTATCGTGTTCTCGCCACGGCGATGGTTAGTGCGTGCCCTGTGGCTCACTGAGACAGGACCCACACTAGTGACCGAACTCTCTCGGGATACGTATCACTACAAGTGCTGGCGTAGGGAACACGTATGGGAGTCCGAATAGCAGCTGAGACAAAAGAACAGTGTGGGTCTGCAGGCGTCTACGACAGACTTGTTGGGAGAGCGCAAACAAAAAAAGAGGGTAAGGCAGCTAAAACACGTCACCCAGAATAGCTTTGGTGTGAGTGACGTTTTTCCTCGCATCCTTCGAGTCCACACATGCTCTCAAATGAGCATAAAAACATATGCGGGTAAAACAAGAACAGTGAGTGGAAGAGCCATTCCAATCTGTGAGATTAGCGGAGCCTGTCACAAAGGCTTAGGATTTATTTTCAATACTTAGTATTGCTAGATGGACATTTGAGGTTCTACTGGCTCAGTTAGAACAAGATTGCACAGAAAAAAGAGTGCCCTGGCCTCGTAATGGGGAACAACTCGTTCAACTAGTACTACTAATATTTGGGCCAGTCAGTAAGAGTTCATGATTATACGACAATGAAATGCAAATGCACAAAACACTAAGGGAGATAAAGATACGAACACAAGATCCAACACTTGTCTTCATGTCTAATTCGTCGATGCATCACCCTGTTATATAATCTTGAAATTATTATTATTATTATTACTGTTATTATTACTGTCATCATCATCATCATCATGTCTCTATATTGAGATTACAGAATAGAGCAAGTAGAACTATTTTTACACCGTAGGCCGAGTCGTGACAGCAAAAGAGAATTCGCAATGTTCACAAAGTGTCGCGTCGCGAAGTGGAATTTGATAGCGTCCTCTCAAAAATGGTCAGAAAGAAGACACTTCCTTGTTCGGCTGTGTAGCCGCAGTGTTAATGCATTAGCAAGAAATGAACACAAACCACTTTGCACGTTGACTGCATCAGTTAATAAACCAGACTCTCCGTGACACGTTCAATATGATTTGTTCTTGCGACATGGGAAGTTCTCGTGAAATTGCATGGCAACTACCGCTTTCAATGATAGCCGTAAGAGCAAACATATAAGCTTCGTAAGGCTTTCTGTAGCTACATAGGTTACTTAAATGCTATCATTTCACCTATTTAGTCGAAATTCATCTTTCTTTACATATACATAGCATTCTTCAGTGCTTTTTGTAGTGCATGAATCCCATAACAATGTACACGGAAAGTCTTGCGGGCATGTGATTCCCTCAAATTGAACAGAGCAGCCCTGCTTCTTTTTGTTTATTTTTTTGTTTAAATGGCAGCACACTGAAGGCAACTTGCTTGGTGACGGGATGGTGAAACATTCTTTGGGCCCAGATAAACATGGTGATGAGCTGTTGTTGGTGCTGTCAAGTCGTTCGGCAAAGAGAATTCCTAAGATTGCCTTCAGCAGCGATGTTGAAAGGAACCAACTTGACGACGAGAATTGTTCGCTGGATGTAGAAGGCTGTAAACGCACCAAGTGACAGCGACGATGAGCGTTCAACTGCTAACTCACGAGAAGCGAGTTGCACTTCATGTTCACCCATGATAATGATTTTTCATGCTTGTAAGTCACTTTTATTGTACTTAATGTATCATATCCTTTAGTGAAGTCAAAATAAAAGAATAGTTTTCCTTACGCATTGCATGGGTGGATATTATAGAGCGCTGCACACCGCCAACAGGTTGGAGCTCGACCAGCGAAGCGAAATAGTTAGAGCGCTGGAACGTGCAGTTACGGCTACAATCTACTGTACGCATCTCTGCTAACTGTAGAGTTCGGGAAAAATTATATGTGTTAGTCACATAAATTTGTGCGCACTATTGTTTGTTTCTGTGCTTTCGTTGATTTTTCTGTACCCGCTCCTGCAATGTCCCAGGCATGGGACAGCAGCATTTGTAAATAAATAAATAAATAAATAATAACTTCTCCTGTACTTTTGCGGTACCTTCCGAATGGCGTTGTTTTTTAATGAATTTTTGCAATTTCCGATATTTATATTTCGATCATGTTGATCAAACCTGCAACATACGAGTGCTATTGGCACATGGCTGTAGAGTCTGAGAACACATACACATATGCAACTTGAAAGGATGTTAAATGGTAGTATTTCGTTGAAAAAGCAACATCATGTTTCTGATGGCGCAAGGAATGACGACGGCATTTCCAAACCATCACCTCGTTAAACATTCGTTCTCGTGAAGTAGTGATGACACTACTCGCAAGTGCCCTACTAGTCGATTCCACTTAGTGAAGTTCCCTGTGACGCACACAAGCAAAACATCGTTCATGCACGATAACAGAGCAGAAATATAACATTTCACACTGTGGCAAATATCCAGGTAGCGAGCTTCCATGGTTTCAAAAAGTATCTTGGTCTCATACATTTCTGTACAGCTCATGACTTCATTCGGTTAAAGTGGCATGGTCCGTACGTCCACAGGTCCTATCTGTTCCTAGGCTAACGAATAGGTTGACCCCCCTACGGGTGCCATCGTGAATTGTACAGAAGGCCACCTATAGTTCCGAGGGCATTTTGAATAGCGCCAAAGCAGACACAACACAGTTTGCGCATACAATTTGTACAGCTGTCGTGGGCAACCTTGTCTTCCCTGTCTTGCTCTTGTATGCATTTAGGAGCTTCCCACTTTCCAGGGATCATCGTTTGAAGACCCAGAAAGCTGGCTACAGACTTACGACAGAGTCGTCGCCTTGAACAGCTGGGACACTGATGAAAAACTTCGCTGCGTCTACTTTTATCTAGAAGACGTCGCAAAGACATAGTTCGAGAACCGGAATCCTACTCTACGAACCTGCGATGTCTTTCGGACGACGTTACAGACACCTTCACGAGCGTCGTTTGTAAAGAACGTGCCGCTACTGCCTTGGAGACACATATTCAGCTTCCCAACGAAAGCGTGAACATCTTTATTGAAGAAATGATCCGGCTGTTCCATCCCTCCAATCCCAACTTGACCGAGAAGAAAGTGAGCTTCCTTATGAGAGATGTGAAGCAAGAACTGTTCGCCGGACTGATCAGGAACCTGCTGAAGACGATCGCTGAGTTTGCCTCGGAAGATATCACAATTGAGAGAATAAAGAGGGGGACTCGAGTAAATGCACCATGGAGTGGTGGGGATATCGGGTAAATGTTGCGCGATTGAGCGGGGTATGGGAATGCTTAATTGTTATTTCATCTTTATTATTCGTATTTATAGAATGAAGGAGACGCATTGCTTTCAAGGAGTGGTGGGACACTGTTGGGTGGTGCCTCACACTACTGGTTGAAAGTACTGTTGCTTCCATTGCATATACTAGAGTCAAGCAAAGCGTCAAGTCAAGCAAAAGCCAAGTAAAGACGCCCTTAACTGAATTCTGTACGCCCGATCCAGTGCCTACATATACGGGTTGGTGAGTGAATGATTGTGCAGCGCGAGCAGTCTATTTTTACTAGCAGACACTGCCTGCATCGGCCTTGCGAGGTGAGAAAGTGGGCGGAGCGACAGTTGGCGCGAGACGCAAGCATGCGCAGTAAGAATGTAGACACCACCGCCGATGCCGAATGTTTGAGTAGGTGCGACTATAAAATGCTCACCATTTAAAACAAGCTTGCATCATGCCTTCACCTGGAATCCACATACAGATGACTCTACATACGCTGAACAGGAGTGATGGAACGCTTCTGACAATGTACTCTCGCTGCTTAAGTCACATATTTAGGCGTACTTAAGTACGTTGTGCCTTTCTCAAGGTTTTTATTGTGAACAAGGCTCCCTCCCATATAGGGTACTGAAACGTCAGTAATCTTTGTGCTCTATGGGTCAGTGTATCCTTTTGCATTTACACTCAAAAGCAAGAGTTATGCAATGTCTTTTTTTTTTCACATGCATTTTAGCAGCTCACTGTAGTTGGAGCAGAAAGAGAGACTTTTTAAGTTTTGATCAAAGATAATGCTATTTTGTGTGACTGTCGCACAAAACTGCTGTGAGTTTCCATGACTTTTCCAGAAAGGTCTAAATTCCCTGACTTTTCCTGGTTTTTCACGTTTTCCAGCTTTGTAAGCACCCTGAATACACATGAATGAGATTCGCTTATAGAGGTTTTGTTTTAGAGATGCTTTATTTGCGTACTTTTATCCACTTCTGACACGAAGCCTCGCTCAACACCAGTCAACACAAGCCTCGCAGACACATATACTAAGAAATTTGCATAGACGGTGGCGCCACATTTCCCTCTGGGTAATTTTGTGATAAACTCTATGGGGCAAGGGCCCTGTATTCCACCTCCTGGCTACGCCAGTGACTACGGGTACACTGCACTACGGGGGCGAATCTACTAGGCATGTACTCGTCCTCAAAGTGTTCCGGTTCACGTTTCGAATGACAAGTATACTCAGATAGTAACATTGCATACCATTAGCTTCCTCTGCTTACAACCATTCAAGAGTCAATTTCGTCACAAGCTCCTTTGGCGAGTCTTTAGATTAGCTGGAGGGCCACAAGCACTCATCAAAAGACGACGCCATTTCGACTGTGGGTTGCAGGTAAAATGTGCAATGTTTCATGCAGGGCAAAAACATGAAATGACACAAATATGAAAAAAACCAAATAAATATGAATAGCGTCTTGGTGCATGCTGCATTCTCTATAAAGAGCATCCCATAGAGAGTAATGTTTTTCCTCTATAATTTTCACGAGAAAAACATGGATGCAATTGTGGAACTATGTTCTTCAGCGGTAGCAGACGACCAGTTTGGCTCCGCAGCCTTCACTTCCATGAAGGAAGAAAAAGAGAGGAGGGAGCATAGGAAAGACAGGATCAAGTTTGTGCAGTACCATTCGCCGCCCTAGCAGAGAGAGAGAAAAGCTCCGTAATTTCAGCTCCCCTTTTGTTCAAAACCTTTGACAGGGCCACTTTCTCCATGCTATATCATTAGGACTTGTACGCAAGCTCTCTTGGCGACTACATTTTTGAACTCAGCTCCTTCTCTTGAAGGGTTCCTATCCCATCGGCATTGTGCTTTGCAAAAGACAAAGCGAGAGTGCAGTTTGAGCCTCGAACTACATCTTCATTATTTATAACCTTTTTGTTTATTGAGTCTTAATGCCATACCATGACGGCTTTTCCTGCTCACGAGACATACAGTAGACTCTCAGTAAATGGGAAATCTGTTTAGTGGAACTGCTGCTTGAATGGAACAAAAGCTTCTGACAAAATTGGTTTCGTTCTTGCATTGTGTGCCCCGGTTTATCTCTCAGTAGACAGAACTCCTGTTAAACAGAACACATTTTACTGGTCCCTTCAGGTTCTGTTTAATAAGAGTCAACTGTACATGCAAAAATATCCACAGAAGCACTCACAGTGGCACGTGCTTAAGTTGCTTTTGCACACATGCTCTAGAACTATACATGCAGAGTCAAAGGCACTAAACCTGGGAGGAGGAAATGAAATTTGCGCATGCCATGCTGTCCCTCTCTGCACCTTCTCTTGAGCGAGTGCAGGCCAGCTGAGAAATCGGGCAGCACTACACTTGCAGCTTGAAAAAAACAAAGGAACAAGCTTGAATAGAACAAAAGCTTCTGACAAAATTGGTTTCGTTCTTGCATTGTGTGCCCCGGTTTATCTCTCAGTAGACAGAACTTCTGTTAAACAGAACACATTTTACTGCTCCCTTCAGGTTCTGTCTAATAAGAGTCAACTGTACATGCAAAAAAATACGCACAGAAGCACTCACAGTGGCATGTGCTTAAGTTGCTTTTGCACACAAGCTCTAGAACTATACATGCAGAGTCAAAGGCCCTAATCCTGGAAGGAGGACATGAATTTTGCGCATGCCATGCTGTCCCTCTCTGCACCTTCTCTTGAGCGAGTGCAGGCCAGCTGAGAAATCGGGCAGCACTACACTTGCAGCTTGAAAAAAATAAAGGAACAAGTGAAGAGCATGCGCGCGGCATGCTCTTCAACGAGGAGAAAGGTGCTGCACCCATTAAACTGGTGCCACCAGTGCGGCCTAATCAGAGAGACCTAAGGTTCCTATAAATGCTTGTTCTGCAACCATGCCTGGAAAGCCGATTGGTTACGAAGCTCAATTTTAGACTGTGGGTACCCGAGTTCGAATTCCTCTGCTCCAAAAAATGTTTTGTTTAACTTAATTTGTATCATCCTATCCACTTCGCCGAGCTGAGTATTCACTCAACCATCACGGCATCATTCCCCTTCCGACTATTTGAATCAGCACTCCTTGTTTTACGGGACTTTACTCTCTTCCACTTTAGCCTCCAACTTCCTTTCCCATCCCTTTTTTTTTTTCACTCCTGTAAGACGGTACATAAACAGTTTATTATTGGCGAAACAGGACAGCCTGTTAATGTTATATGGTCATTGCACGGTCACGGCAAAGAAATTACCCGAAGCGGTGGCACAGCATTTTAATGTAGCAGGATAAAACTTCGATGATCCCAAACTCTACATTCCTCAGTCAAACTTTCGGTCTGCTAGAGAGGAAATTATACAGAGTCGTACCTTATTCACAAGTTTAATACACTTTAGCCAGTAGGTATAAACGTTTTTAAAGGAGCTCTGGAATTAATTTGGTATGGTAGACACACAAAGAAAACCACTGCGTATTAAGCCCTCTGTCTGGGAACTTGAAATCTGCCAAAGTTATCTTCTTGCAACTACAAACGGGACTCAGCGAGACGTGTACATCTTCACCTCCTCACCGCTTCCTTTTTTTTTTAATTCACGGCATTACCGGTTTTTTCTTCACTCATACAATTTGTCACAGTGCCCCCTCCCCCTTCTTTCACACCCACGTATCAAATGTTGCCCTTCCACCTCCTTTGTTAGGATGGAGGAGAGAGTACGAAGCATAGAACGCTAGTGCTAAACAAATCAGTTCTATTCTAGCCTTGAGAAAGACAAGTCTGCTTGTCGAAATGTTGGCTCGACACAACCACCGTTTGTGGATTTTTCAGATGACAGAGGTGTTTCTTATGAATATGTGGTCCACAGTTCAGTTGGGTTTGTTGAGTATGCACAAAGTGTCAGCATCTTTTGAGAACATGCTGTTGGATAAATTATTATTCGTTGATGATGTGAAAATATGTGTCCCAGACCGCTATTATCTTGTCCTCGAGGCTGCCTACAATTCTTCTAATGGCCAAACAATAACACTTTTGGAGCTTGTCTATGATGAGATCACCGAGACGTCCCCAACCAAATATCGATTTCCCGACAAAGCTTGATGTTTCTGCTTTTGCAGGAGGCACATTCGGAGTGAGCAACGAGGCACATTCTCTTTTGAATGAGCTCACTGCGCTCCATCTTGCAAACTAGAATCCTTACATACTGCTTTGATGCTTTAACTGAAAAAATCCTTGGCTGTCTACGAAATAGGGATGTCACAGGCCGCCACACAGGTTTTGAAATATGTAATTTTTATGCGATAAGAAGTCACCCTGGGCCAAACATGCGACTGATTCTGGTTAAGAAAAAGCCACAGATTTAAAATTGTGCAAAAAGAAAAAAATTCTTGTTTTTTCAATAAGTATGCTTACCCTGTCCCTTCAAAAATCGTTGGGATGATGCAATCGTGCTGGCGAAACCAAACTAAAATAAAATTTTTCGAATGCTATTACATTCAAAGGGACCAGCCAGCGAGACGCCTGCATCGGAAGACTCCCAGGCAGCATACAATAAGCCGTGCACTGAAATGAACTTGCTAACGAGACCTCGTTTGCCTATTTCTGCTTTTCGTGCTTACCTGAGTGTTGGGATTCCTGTTGGGATGCCATTTGCTCAGCATTAGTCACTTCCACCTGGTCAATGAGCTGCATCAAGTCATCCTGAAAACAAATGATGCTGACATTATCCAGGATTTACTCAACGTAGTCAATATCTTGCTGAGGCTGAGCATAGGTTGCGCTTTGCTGCTAATCTAAATTTAGAAATGGTACAGACATATCCATATCATAAACCGTGTATCATATACAATTAGGATTTATTCGTTTGGCAAGCCTAAAAAAAAGTGAAATGAACTCAAACGCGTATTTAAACAAATTCTGCCACTTCTGAAGAGAATACTTCTACTTTTTCGCACACCAACGATAACAGCCTTGGAAACGGTGATGCTCTTTTGCAGCATGATAATACGTCATGAGAGCACTGCACTAAAATAAAGTATATGTGACTACCGGTTGGCAAAGTCACTCATGAGTCGACTCACTCAGATGGAGCAATGTGTGTGTGTCTGGGTGAGTAATATTTTGATGTGGGAAATTTTCATTAGTCTGAATCCTTTTGGGGTAAAAATTGGTGAGTATTAGTTTGAGTGAGCACTAAGCGTGAAGTATATTTTGCGAGTGAAGTTTGAGTAAGCTCCACTTTTAATTGCCTACCAATGATCCGATCTCCTCATCTTCAGCATTACGCGTTATTGGATGCGAGGCCCACCACTGGAAGCGCGAGCGCTGCCATCGCTGTGATCTTGCCTCACTCTTGGGAAGGAAAGCTGGTGGTTGGATGCGTTGTTTTTAACCGCACTTTCGCGATGTTTTCACTTTTATACAGCATTGTACTGCTCTCACTATACGTGTGCAGTCTTCTGCAGACTGCAAAGTACGGAATGTTGTAGTAAAAGTTATCGGCGGTGTGCCAAAGTTCGCTGAGTACGCGATGCAACTGTCACCTCTTTCTCTTTTTGTTGTTGTGGTTATTTCAAGCCCACAGGATTAACATGAGCACCAACCACAAATGTTCACATAAAAGCAGAACGTTTCAATTTCCGCATGGGAGCCCCGTTCACACTAAAATAATGAATGGGCAAACAGTCCAATTATGCATCCTAAAATACGACATACGTACATGTGGGGGAAATTACCGTGATTACATTTTAAAATGTGCGCCATTGTATGCATTGTCAGAGGGTCAAGATAAATTCGGAAGTCCAGTTCTTTTCCCTTAATTTCTGTGAATTTTACCCTATTCTGTCTATTTTATTGCCAGCTGGTTCTGCGTGCTCGGCCAGCGCATTCGACGAAACCTTTCTTACATCGTAGATGTGCCGCTCCAGTCTTTGCTAAAGCTTACTTCTCTTGCCAACGTAACATTTACTGCAGTCTGCGACACCCTTACAATACGAATGGTAACATTGACTAGTGTCAGGGGTTGCTGCATATCATAACACAATCGTAATGAATAACAAAACTGATTTAATGACGATTTAAACAGATTACACGACTGCTTCTCTCGTGAGCATGTCTCCCTCAGTCAATAGTCGGAACGTCACATGACTTCCCTCCCCTCTTCCCGCCTCGTGAGCCGTGTGCACTTGAGGATTCCCGGACTTGATGATATGTGGCGTTAGTCTCTCAGCTAACACGGCCAGGTCTTTCAATCTGTTGCGTCCTCTCAATAGTCGGGAATGTCAGTAACATAGCCAACCATCGTGGCGGTTTCTTGCAACCTGGCTGGTCGTCAGATGTTCGGGGTGGCATCTGCTCCTCCTTGTTCAGTGGCAGTTTGTGGCGTCTATCACTTTGTAGCTGAAACTGTTTGTCAGGCTCGTCACAGTCTGTGGCTGTTTTGTCACATGTCTGCGACTGTGTCGACTTGATGCTGGTTTGGCTGGATTGCAAGAGGAAAGGCTTCAATTGTCGGGCTGTTGCAAGCCCAGTTTCTGTAGTGCCCTTTTTCGAGATTGTGTACGTCTCTTTTTCCACTTCTGTTATCGTGCAGGGTCCATCGTACATTGGCCCTAATTTTGTTGGTAGGGAGCTGTTGGTGACCACTTCGTCACCCACGCTGAATGTGGCGGTTTGTGTTTGGCGTCGTACTTGCACTTGAGCTCATGTAGGCAGTCGGTTAGCATGTTTCGTGGTTCTTCACTTCTTGCTTCTGCTTGTTCTTGTGGCTCCATTGGTGCCGATAGCTCGTTGTGGATGGTTCGACAGTGAAACGTAGTTGTACAGCACTTGAAATGATGACGTTTGTAGACCAATGCGTGGCTTGTTCACTTGAAACGTTGTTTCTCGAAGGTATTTGCTCCAGTCGTCCATGTTGCCATTGAGGTTCTTTCGAAGTACCGACAATATTCCTTCATTCGCACGTTCAACAAGACGGTTCGTTTCTGGCGCTTAAGGCATGGTCAAACTGTGATCGATGCTCTTCTCCGTGAAGCAGCGTGTAGCAGCTCGTGAAGTGAAGACTCTGTTGTTGCCTCTCCCCACAGTTTCTGGTGTTTTAAATGTGAATACAGTCAAGCCCACATATGATGGCCCCACTTAAAACGAACTTTCGCTTAAAACGAACAATATCCGCATGATCCTGAAAATATACATTGGTTCAATGGCACAAAATTACACTTACAATTAACGTCTCTGAGCGCCACCAATCGGTTACAGTGAACGGGGTCAGGCACTCAGCCGACTTCCCGGGAAACCACTTTCGACTACTGATCAGGCATCGGCGAGCTGCCCATACATTCTTATTGTTAAACGCCGACCCTGCCTCCGTGCCCCTCTAGTTGCCGCTCACCCCGACCGCGTTTTGTTACGCATCCCTGTGTCCTTGGTAACCCCCTCCTACTCTGAGCACCCCGCATCGCCAGACGCGGCCCGTGTTTTCACACTGCCACTAATTTTTCGAAACCGGTCGGCCATCTCCTCTGTCTTTGACCGCTGGTATTGTCGTTGGCGTAGCTGGCTTTGAGTGACCAGACCATTTGCCAACATCGTCGGCCACCGACTGTATCCGATAGTCTGCGTATAGTGCACGCGCGTATGCTACGCCACCGACTCTGATATTTTATGATTCGTTTCGTGTTTAGGACTTGTTTTTGCTCACTTGCACTCAGCTCAGCATTCTCTCCGCACGCATGCGGAAGAGTGAAAACGGCTGTTAATTTGCACGGAACGAATCCCGAAATATCGAAGTCTGTGAGGCCACGCAAACCCGCCGGCGCAACAAAATAATTTTTTGACCACGACAGCCAATTTTTTTAACACCGCCGCGTGCAACGATCCAGGCGGCTGTGCTTTGACTTCTGCACGCGAAGGCACTCTTTCAAGTTTTTGTACGCCTGCGTTTTGCAGACCTTTCAAGCGAGCTACCTGATCTAGCTCCTTCCCGCGTACACTGCTTTTCAAAGTCGCCCATCTCCGCCAGTGTCCTTCCTTCTCTTCTCTCTATCGCAACTCTCGCAAATCTGCTCTCCTCTCTTGATCACGACCCCTTCGCCCGTCTTCACCGCTCCGCAACGCCAGCCACGCTGGCTCGAGTTAGTTTCGTTTTCTGACTAGAAACAGGCCCAGATCTGTTCCGCACGTCCTGGCATGTGTGTCGCGCGTGTGCATCTTGCTCGCTCTTGGTGTGCGTGTGTGATCAGATGGCAGACGGGAGGTCTTGCACGCTTTTTCCTGCTGCTCAACAAAACGTCGAAAGTGTGACTGCTTGGCTTGAGTGTAGTCCGCGCGTTAGGTGCTGCGTTGTAGAGCGCTTGCTCATAGCTGTTGACCACCTGGCAGCCAACTTGCCGCTCCGGGTGCCCCGGTATTCGGTTGTGGAGATGGCGAATATATCGTGGGCGGTGGTGACGGCTACATGCGTGCAAAACTGTTCTTGCGAGGACGACTTCGTCGATGTTGGGCCCGATGCAGAGCCTGAGCTTCCGAACAGTATCACTTCGGCGGCGAATTCGTGGCAGCGTGCTGTCGACTCCGACATGAGGAGAGCGGATGGAACATATGTTGCGATGGTTTCATTACGGCCGATAATGATGCTGACCACGCGGAATCGTGCACATATTAGGTCATTGTGAATGAAGTACGTGGCAAGAGCGATTTAAAGGAATCCTATTGTGAGAATACGAAACTATGGAGTCAGTCCTTCATACAGCTTATGCCACGGGCCTCGGCAAACAAGCACGCTGCTGTTTGAAATAAACTAGAGAATGCCCCTATCGCTTTTTCTCTTTGAAACGCAGGCATTATGAACTTTTTCGGGGAAAGAATTTTGTGTTATCACTCGCAACTTTTTTAAAAGCTGTGTTTCATTTACTACAAACTTCAGGATACAGTGAGCGGATGCCGCGTCGGGCTCAGATTCGTTATAAGCGGGCTCGACTGTACAATGTCTTCATCGAAGAAGCGTTGAACGTGTTCTGTCGACTAGGCTTGTGCGAATGTTCGAATGATAGTCGAGTATTCAAATTCGCTTTGATTCGAATTTGAATTATCGTAATGAACGAATAGGTGAATTAATCTGCATGTCATCACCTGTAAATGTGGTTTCACTGCAATGTAGGAATACTAAACCGTGAAAATACTTATCCAGGAAAAATTCGCTTTGCCGCGAAGTCCCCTTCAAATTTAAAGGGGCCCTGCAACATTTACTGAACATGGTAAAAAAACGCTGCCAATCAGTAGTCGAGGCTACCGTGAACAAGCGAGGCAAATATAGTGCAGCAGGCTGTTTGTTATTCACAATAAATTCTCAAAGCTAAAGATTGCTTTCTTTTCTCAGCAAATCACACTACAAGCTCAAAGATCAGTGGTCACAGCCATTGGCTGTGACAAGGCTCTGGTCACAGCCATTGGCTGATTTGAGCATGGCGCGCCGTCATTACCAAAACTGCCGCGGGAGGTCGCCGCTTGTCTGTGAGCATGTGCGCGATCGCACTGAAAAGCCACGCATTCGAAGAAAAAAAATAACAGGTGCTCAAGGTCACAAGGTGCTTGTGACATTCTTTTTTTTTTTTGTGCCATTCATCCCTGCTTAACTTCCAGCTATTTAGTCAAGATGAGAAGAAAGAATGCAATTGCAGCGTGCGGCAAACTCTTGGAACTCT